AACCTTTTTTTTTTCTTTTTTTAGTTTAAGGAGCTGTTGGCAATAATTGTACCCATTCGCATCATACCGTCTTAGTATAATGTATAAAAATAGATAGTTATATAGGACGTAGGTAGTATGGTATTTCGTTATAATATTTTTCATTTTTTTTACAACTCATTGCAGGGGCTTTATGATTTTTTTGTGTCAACATTTGTCTAGATATCATAGAAGGGGTTGTTTGACATCCCATCCGCTGGTTATTCTTCTAATAAAAACAAGATAAACGAAGAAAAAATGCAGATCAAAAAATTCATGATAATTGTCTTTATTTTTGCACAAATATAATTATGTCAAGGAAATGTTTACATGTCGAAACAATAAAATCTTATATACTAAAAAATTCTAGTAAACTCATATTTTGTTTACTATTTTATATTATGGTATAATGTACATACATATGATTAACTAATACATGAAATTAGGTACATATAATATGTAAATAATTGAAAATATAATTTACATGTAATTATATTATAACATATGTATGAATTAAATAAATTTTAAACCATTATTAAGTAGTATTTATATTTACAATTAATGATATACAATTTAACTGTAAATCACAAACATAAAAATTAAGTACCTAGTTAACTAAAAAAAAATTAATAATAATATAAATATTTTTCACACACCCTCTAGCCACATTTAGGAGTGCGATTTGAATTATCACAATGAAACTCAAATAAATAATCAAAGTTTCATGTTTATAWTTTATAAATATTTCAATTAATTATGTACAATTAATCATGTAATGCAGGAGGTTTATTTTTAGAGGAAATCATAAATTAAGTTAAATGCTTTATATGCTAAAAAATATATAGATAACTATTTACAAAAAATAAAAATGTTGATAAAAGTGTATAGTTTTGCATATAATTATTATTTTTAACTTAAGTTGTATAGTTGTATAAGTGAATGCTATAATGAACCAATATTTGAATCGTATTAAGGTTTTYAAATTGAAATAAATGTAATATGTTAAGATTTCACACAAAAATTGTACAATAAGAGGTTATGATAATAATGTTCATTAGACTGAAAACAGTGGCCAGCTAGCTAAATGGAAATTACAAAGACAATGATTGATAAATTAAATTAMATTTTCCTAGTGCTGCAGTTACTTTCATTGCTAGTGATTGTGGACATATTTAAAAATAATTCTATATCTTAAGTACTAATATTATCATATTGTATATTATACGTATATAATTTATATATTTATGTATATATATATATATGTATATCTTATAAAAATATAAGATGAATATATATACATAGATATATATGTATATATATACACACATTTACATTAAATAATACATTAATTTTTTTATAAATATATAGTAAAATAAATCACGGTTATTTTATACAAGTCGTAAAAATTACAATTTTATTTTCGGACTAGTAAATTTAGGAACATTCATCAATGTATTAATAATATGTTATAAATGTGTGTATAAATATAGAGCATATTAACACTCCTAATATGTTCACAAACGATAGGCGATAACAAATAATAGGATATTGTTATCAGTACAACAGATTTGAATTTATAGGCAAGTTATGCAATTTTGGTATTTTCAATCAAACCCATTTACCAATATTATTATAGTTAAACATTTGTGCTAAAATATGATTTTATACTTTTTTTAAACTTAAATTTGTACAATTGGATTAAAATGAAAAGTCGTCTTTATTATTTCAAAATTAAATTAATTAATTATTTGATCTATAATTTACTGATTTAAAAAAAAAAAAAAAAAAATGTATAATTATTTTATGTCATATCATAATGACATATTACGAGTATGTGATTAGTATAAATTAACATGTCTGTTTATTTTATTTTATACATGAGATTTTTTGTAAATTAATTAATAATTTACAGGCTGTACATAACTTAACTCGTATATTAAAAAGCATTATTTAGTAACAACATGATAATTTATACCAGTCAAAGAAATGACCAACTGGTAATCATTATACAAATCAAAATAGTAATACTTAAAATCTAGCAAAAACTGCACCATGATTTGGTATTTAATATACCCAGCGATATGCATGATACATTTTCCATACTTAATGCTTTTTAA